TGTTAAGTCGTGTGCTTAACAAAGAGTCGGAAAGTGATTCAGCAAGAATTGCGGTTTATTCTTCAGCTTGGTTACGATCGCCAGCCAGAACCATCATTCGAACCACTCGAGCCAAAAGACAAGCACTGGCTGCTCTGTATTTAAACATCCCCGGCTAGTGTAGCCACACCCCCTGTACAAATAACAACCTATGAGGTTGAAGATATAATGCCCAATCACAAGCGGTCCCGCTTTACAGCGTGATTGGTAGACACTCTCTGGGCTAGGGCTCCTATTGGTTACATTAGGATCCTAGCCCAGGATGAAGCTCAACATGGCGTTTCAATCAGTCGATTCACACATCAGTATTTACACAGTTCACATAGCAGTTATATACAATGCAATACATAACACAAAGATTATTTTGGAGTACAGATTGCCCCAGTTTCTGAATGTGTATTGGTGCAGAATTTTTAAAGTATCCTCGGTATTTGTAGTTGGATTTGTGAATAAAGAACTAAGAAATGTCAATAAGGAGCTGGGAACGAACTTCAGCCTCTTGTCCACAGGGACTGTGCCAGTTCACTTGCAGGTCATCCAGATGGTAGGACAAAGTCTATCAAGATTAACACAGGTGATGCAGCCCAAAACAGTGATCACACAAAAAGCCAAGTGCACTCCTCTTCCTTGACAACCTTGCCCAGCAACTTCTGGCATTGTAATGAATGAAAATGCTGTGTAGACATACAACTGAAACCCATGAATATTAACTGTTGGTCTCTGTTTCCTCCTTCAAGTGAGTTCCATCTACATTGCCATTCTGATAGTCTTCTGACGTTTTTCTCTAGCTTCACCCTTGCCCAAGAACTTATTGGAAACAAAATTTGGTAGATTTATGTTGTCTTCTCTATTTATTAGCCGAAACAGAAAAACTGAAGTGCATTTATGACAATGGTGATTGTCAGCATTACTGCAGAGATACCCCAACTACAGTACGGGAGTGTTTTTGTGCAACGGGATACAGGCTAGCCAGTGATGAAATATCTTGCATCCCAGAAGGTAAGAAACATTTCCTGTCACTCACAATGACGTATGGTAGGTAGCACCCCTTTCTAGATAGACGCCAGACAAAACAACAGAACTTTGTTTAAAAAAATGATTTTATTTATTTTATTTTATTTATTTACATGAGACTTATATACCGCCCATAACCCCTAATGGGTCTCAGAGCGGTTTACAGACTTACTACTATATAGTAGTGATTAAACCTACCTAGGGCCACATTTCACAAGGGGAGGGACTCCCTATCAGCACCCTGTTGGCAGCGCATTCTCTCTTCTCCCGGCGGGCTCCGAATGTTGTTGTTGTCTCTGGCATCTTCCGGTTACCTGGCGACCTCCTTCCGGAGGCTCGGTGTTTTTTGCGCGCCTGCGTCCCGCGTCCTGCGTTCGCTCCGCCTTCCGTCAGGTCTGGTCATCCGGAATTCAGCCGCCATTGTTGTTTTTCGCCACTGCCGTCTTTTACCTCCGTTGCTGCTGCCAACACTCCTGGCACGGAATCAGGAGGTGGGTGCCCCCTGCCACCTAGGGCAGGAACCCATTTATCTACTCGTTTTATTTACCTTTCGAACCGCTGGGTTGGCGGGAGTCAAGCTGATCAAGCTGAGATCTAATTCTAATTAATTAAAATATTTATACCATGCCTTTTTTCTTAGCTTAAGGCTAAAATTAGCATGAATAACAAAGGTAGTCAGCCTGACTGCCCAGGGGTGGAAAAGCTCATTACACATCTCAGGGCTGGTTCCAGGTTTTGAGGTCGGCCCCAGGGCAGAGAGTGCCCAGAGGCCCCCTCTCCTCCTTGACAGGGAGATGGCAGAACAGGCAGGTGGGCAAGAGGACACTGGCAGTGGGGCCCCCAGGCCCTGGCAGCTGCCCCGTCCTGCTGCATGCTGTTGCTGTCCTTGACCACCTTTTTAAAAGGCTTTCTGTGATTTCACCTTTTGAGGGGTTAAGAGTGATTAACACTTAGAATTCACTGCCACAGGAAGTGGTGGCGGCTACAAGCATGGACGGCTTCAAAAGGGAATTAGATAAGCATATGGAGCAGAGGTCCATCAGTGGCTCTTAGCCACAAGGTATAGATAGGGGCTCTGGGGCAAGTGATGCTCTGTCTTCTTGGTGCTTGGGGGGGGTCAACAGTGGGAGGGCTTCTAATGTCCTGGCCCCACTGGTGGACCTCCTGATGGCACCTGGTATTTCTGGCCACTGTGTGACACAGAGTGTTGGACTGGATGGGCCTTTGGCCTGATCCAACACTGGCATCTCATATGATCTTATGTTCTTATGACTTTTTCTTCTCACATAAATTACACCTCTGTGCTCTGTGCTGAAGTATGGACATTATGGCTTCTGTCAATGATCAGGCTCTGGATGCCAGCCTCCAGGTCCATGGAATTACAGCTCATCTCCAAACTACAGAGATCAGTTCCCCTGGAGAAAATGAATGCTTTGAAGGGTGGACTCTATGGCACTGCACCCCACTGAGGGTCCCTGTCTTCCCCAGTCTTCATCCCCAAATCTCTGGGAATTTGTCAATCTGGATCTGGCAACCCTACCCCTCCATCCCCTGCCAGTGGCCAGGAGGACCTGGCGACCCTAGATCCGGCGTGCAACTGATTTGTGTACCTTTTGGACTAGCACATGATGTTTGCATCGTCAGTAGCACAACTGCAACTCGCACAGTGGCAGTTCCATAAATGGATAATGCAAACTCATGGAGTTGGATCTCCTGACTCTGAAGAAAGTGTCCTCCCTTAGCCAAACCAAGTCACAGGATCCAACTCATTAACTGGATAGTGAACCTTGAAATCAGTTTCAGTCCAACGATTTGGATAGGTGGCGTTTCTTGAGCTACAACTTTAACAGACCAACTGAAAATGAATTGCATGCCATATTTAGATAAGCATGGCCATTCAGTGAATGTGATGAAGGGTTTAAACGATAACAAAACAGGCACTTGAGGCTTTTTGAGAAGTTCAGTTGTGTAATCAGAGAGTCGGTGTCGTGTAGGAGTGAAAAAGTTTGTATTAGGATCTGGGAAATTCAGGTTCAAATTCCCACACTGCCATGGAAGCTCACTGGGTGACTTTGGGCCAGTCACACATACCTGAGTACACACCTAACCTACCTCACAGGGTTCTTGTGAAGATAAAATGGAGGCAAGGAGAAAAATTCTTCCCACTGGGGAGAAAAGCAGGGCATAAATGAAGGAAATAAATAAATCATAGGACTGTAGAGTTGAACAGAGTCATATAGGCCATCTCCCTGCTCAATGGTCAATTATAAAGGGAGACTACATAATTATGGTCCAGATGATCACCTGTGCTTTTCAAAATATAATTTTTTTGTTATAATCTATTTATTGGATTTTCAGATATAAGAGGGGGGAAATAGAATATATATAATTACACACATCACAATATTTCCCTTAAATACATTAGTTAATTATACATTTCATCCACATCTCATTAATTATAATAATCCGAATTGCCACATATCAAGTTCATCTTACTCCATTAACAAGGTTTATAATATCTCATAATTCATTACATCCACCTTCTCACACCTAAACCTTTTCCCACGCTAACTAAACTATTTCCATGCAGCTATTCTATTCATTTAACTCTTTTATGATCTTATTTCCTGTTTGTTCTACTCACCAGACCCGTAATTAAAGATCCTTACTTTCCCCGTGAAATTTATGCTTTATTGGCCTTCCTCATTCCACAGCAGTCTAACCCCCATTCCAAACTAACAATTTTTTAATCTTGTAAATATAACTAATTATCATTACACTAAAAGGCCCAGTTGTAAACAAACCACCTTTCTCTTTCTTCCTAGTATATTACTGGTAGCGAAAAGCATTCATACAATATTTCTGATAAGAGACTTATTTGCATAAACTCTCTGTTTACCTAATTAACACATGTCCTAGTTATTTGATTATAAAAGACATCTGTGTGGGAACATTCTATGCTCAGATTAAATTACCCTATAGTTCTCTTTTTTATTAATTAATGTTATTTCATTAAAAATATTTTATTCCAAAACATACAAAACCCTATAAATGGGGTGGGGGGGGGGGATCAAAAAGAAATCTTACTAAACAATATAACTCACCCCCATGAGACTAAACTTCCCTCAGCTTGTTCACTTATGTGTAGCCATATGTAGCCAAAAATAAGACCAAGCAAGCATAGCTTTTCTTTTTTCCTTCTTCCACATCTTTCAGTCTTCTCCTTTTTTCTTCCAACCTCTTTTAGGTGCCTTGCATTTTTGTATTCAGAAAATTTAAAGTCCAAATCATTTTTTCCATAATTCGAAAAGCCAATTTCAGTCCTTTGTTCACTTTATGTTTCTCTACTCCATTCTTTTCTCCTCTTTTCTGTTTTTTCTCCTTAGTCTTTTTTCTTCTTACTGTTTCTAATGAATACTCTTTCAAAGTCTTTTTTTTTAATACAGAATCTTCTGTTTCCTTTAGGTTACATCCTGAAGCTTCCTTATTTTCCTTGTTTTCCAATGTCTCTTTTCCTATTGTTATCAACTGATTAACACACAGCTCTCTCGTCTCCTCCCAGGAATCGTTAAAGTTCTCAGCAAAACTCTGGGTAGTTTAATATGTTCTCCAGTTTCTTCCTTACTTAGGGCTACACTTTGAGGGCTTTCAATCAGACTTTTACATGCGTCCTTTACTGCTTGTGCAATTTCTTTTTGTAAAAAATCCCGAAATTGCTCCCATGTAAGAATACCCACCAGGGTCTCTGAATCTAGCTCTTCACTCTCATCTCTTGACTCCATTTTATAGCGTGCACTCCCATGCACTTACAGTTCTTAATAAGCTTTTTGCACGCATTTTACTTTATAGCCCCTCCTTTGTTGTCTACGCTTATGCTTCCAATCAATAACAGTTCATTAGCAGTTCAAACAGGGAAAAAAAATATTTTCTTACCCCCTTCATTCTACTATGAACTACTTCTCCATACACTCGAAGCCGCCTTTTTTTAAATTTTTTTGGAGATATCTCTTCGGGGTAATCCAAGTCAGTTAAATTTCTTCTTGATCTTACGCAGTATATTTTTCTTGTTGCGATGTTTTTTCTTGTTTTATACAATAACTAGCCGTAAAGCCCGTTGAGGAGGAAGACAACGGGCCCTAGAAAGGTAGGATGGGTTGGTGGGGCATGGGTTGGGGGGTGGAAGCCAGCGGGCCGATCGCTGGGCTGGAGTGGGGGTGGAAGCCGACGGACAGGGCCTGCAGGCCCCGTTTGCCGGCCTGGAGTGGGGTGGTGGTGGTGGTAAGCTTGCGGACGGGGGGGTTGGGGGGTAGCCAGCGGACGGGACCTCCAGGCCCCGTTCGCCAGCCTGGAGTGGCCGGGGAGGCAGCCGGCGGACGGGGCCTCCAGGTCCCGCGCGGCAGACGGGCTCTGCTGGGCCCGTTCGCCGGGCAGGAGTGGGGCTGGGGGGGGCGGAAAGGCGGCGGACGGGCCCTGCTGGGCCCGTTCGCCGGGCAGGAGTGGGGCTGGGGAGGTGGAAGGCGGAGGACGGGCCCTGCCGGGCCGTTCGCCGGCCAGGAGTGGGGCTGGGGGGGGAAGCTGGGACGCGCTTACTGTGTGTGCGGAAGATGGCCGCTCAGGAGATGCTGGCTGAGATGACTGGCTCCCTCCCCTCCCAGCCACCCAGCCAATGGCAGGCCAGGTTCGCTGAGGGAGCCAGTCATTGGAGGCAGCTCTTCTGAGTGGCATTTTTTCCGCCCATACACTAACGGGGCGCATTTTAGAATTCTGGCACCCACTACTCTTTTATAATAAGGGAGAGATAAGTTAAAAACAATGGCTGGTTGCTGCTAATGAAAACATGACAACCATGTTTTCGCCGTTTCTTTGCTCCTGCTTCGGGGCAAGCCTGCAACACCCCCACAATTTGCTGTCCTCGGGGGTGGCCAACAAAGCCCCCTGCTGCTCCCCTCCCTCCAGGAGACCAAGCCGAGAGAACAAAGAGGAAGCGGACGGCTCAGGAGACACGTCTGCTCGCAGCGCCGACGCCCAGCTCTACCTCGCTTTTCAAAATATAATTTACTGCTGTTCAGTATTAAACCAGCCTAAAATGGCTCATATCACAAGTTTTGTACCTAATGAGCTATGTTAATCCTTTTACAGTTGATTATCCATGTGGGAAAATACCCATTTTGGCCCAAAGAAATAAGAGTGAGGAGGGAAGAATTGTAGGTGGTCATATCTGTCCTCCAGGTGAATGTCCATGGCAAGTAAGTCTTTACTGAATTTTAGTAACATTTTCTCTTAAGAGTTTCGTATTCCAGGTGGGTGGCACAGGGCTCTGTAATCATGCTTTGAATGGTGCCCTGGGGTAATAAAGAACCTGTAGGGAGGGAAGGAAGTCTGGTTGCTGTTCTTTTTTAGCCTGACTAGATGAACATTGCTACACTCATATTTTTATAGAGCAAAAGTGCAAAGGCTCCAAAGTAGTGAAGAACTTCAAGCTCACAAAATTATACAGTTAAGGGTGTCACACTAATACAAAAACATTTTTACAAAGCAATCAAATTAGTGATTAATTACTAACACGTTTTTCACGGGGGGGGACCTCAAATATTCCACTGCTCCCCACAACAGGTGGTGCAGCCTTGAGGAAGAATGGTCTCTGACAAAGGGGGTGTTGGCTTTCCAAAGCTTATACCCTGAAAATCTTGTTCTCTAAGGCATGACTGTGCTGCTCTGCTACTCTGCTACTCTGCTACTGCAGAGCAACACAGCTACTGAAATATACTGGGTTCAGATGCGTAGAAGTGATCATCTCATAGTTTATTAGTGATTCAGCAAGAGAAAGAAGACTGGCTCAGTACAGACAGGCTCAATACATAACAGCTACTCTCTGAAACTGTCCTCTTCAATGTGGCTGCATAGAACATGGGTAACTGCAGTGAGACTACCAAACTGTGAATTGGCTGCTCCCAGCTCCCTGTAGTTCAGAAATAGCTTTACCAATTTGTAACCAGACAGTATAAAATGCCTAGAAGGTAGCCTTTCTTTGAGACTTCAGATGCTCAAAGTCATTAGGCTGGCTACTGTCAGCTTTTCTGCTCGTGCAAGAGGAACAAGGGGCAATCTTGTCCAGTTCCTTCCTCACTGCAGCCCCGTCCCCTGCATCATTCAATTCCAGCATAGGCCTTTTGGAGGTCAAAGGAACAACTTCATTCCTCTTGTTCCAGCAGAGAAGCTGGTGGGATCCAACCCATTTTAAAGTGTTCTACTTAAACTCACATACTTCGTCCAGTGCTAGATGGCTGACACTTGAGCAAATGACCTCTGTGTAAATCCTTGCATACAGTGACGGTGGTTGTATTTGCAGGCACTCTTAATAGATGGAGTAAAAGAAAAATGTGGAGGTGTTCTACTTGCTCCATCGTGGGTAGTTACTGCAGCTCACTGCTTGGACCATACGCACCCCAGAGTACTCAAGATAAAATTGGGTAAGTGAAGTCCTACAACTTTTGAAAGAGTTGTAGGAAAACTAAATGGGAGGAACATTTATTGAGACATGAACCTAAAGAGGACCTGCAGCTAACTGGGCAAGCAGCCCTCTCCTCCTCTTCACTGATTCTACATGGCTTTGTCCCCTTCTTGTCCTTACCTTGGTTTTCTTAACTTGTTATTTTGCTTTCCCCTCAGGCCCCTGATCTTTGATACTTTGGAGGATATCCTCAGGGGTCATTTCGTAGAAAAAGAGGTGCAGGAGCTCCTTAGCATAACTCATTAGATAACTTATTTGCATATGCCACACCCCCTGACATCACTGGAAGTGTATCAGAAGGCAACACCCACCGCTCAGGCTCCACTGGACTGTTTTGGATTGCTAGCTATTGGGGGGGATGTGCAGATCTGTCCTCACAGAGGAAGGAGAGCTCATACCTGAATAAAACTTAATCTTAAAGGTGCCACTGGACTCTTTTGGACCAGGGGGCCGGGGGGGGCTCTGCAACTTACCTGGCTGCTTCTTGCTCTGACTGAGGGCTGCTGGGAGCAGGGGGTGAGGCTTGTTGCATGTGCCCGCCCCCTGGGCTCCTTACTGCCGGAGCTCCACTCGTGTGCGCTCCTGCAGGAAATGACCCCTGGATATCCTCATATATGACAGGTACTTCCTGGTGGGTACTTGCATCCCCTTGTAAGCTACTAAGCTTACTCTGGTCCACATTCTCTCTCCCTCCCCCCTCCATATTGTCCTAAGCCTCCCTCCCACTTTCCCCTGATCCCCTTGCTTTTATCTACTTCAGAATACAGGAAAGGCTGTTGCAGCCAGTGTTCCCTCTAAGCTGAGTTAGTGTGAGCTAGCTCACAGTTTTTTAGCATCCGGCTCACACATGTTTGTCTCAGCTCAGGAAGGATGGCTCCAGAGCCAGCTGATTGATGCAGTAGCCAAATTGCTCACTCACAACTTTACTGCCAGCAGCTCACAAAGCAAAATTTTTGCTCACAAGACTCCACAGCTTAGAGGGAACATTGATTGCAGCTATTTGTTGTATGTATGTTTGTGGGGGGGCATGACAGTGGTCCTTGAGTAATTGTAATTACACCTTTTTACTCTAAGTGTACCCCCAGTCTCGTCTTTGAGGATATATATACACATACACACATAAATATATAGTGAGTACTTCATGGGCAGAGCTTTCATGATAGGCACGGCTGGAAATATGACCTAATGTGCTTGATTCTGCTGGAACAGACCAATGATCCATCTAGTCCAACATCCTGTCTCACACAGTGTCCAACCAGTTGCTCTGGATGGCCAACAACAGAGTATAAAGGCTGAGGCCTTCCCCTGATGTTGCCTCCTGGCTCTGGGATTCAGAGGCTTAGTGCCTTTGAATGTGGAGGTTCCCCTCAGTCACCATGGCTAATAGCCATTGTTAGACTTATCCTCCATGAACCTATCTAATCCCCTTTTAAAGCTATTTATTCCTGTGGCCATCACTACATCCTCTGGCAGAGAATTCCACATTTTAATCACTCTCTGCATAAAGTAGTATTTCCTTTTGTCCGTCCTGAACCTACTGCCCATCGGTATCATTGAATGCCCATGAGTTCGAGTATTTTGGGAGAGCGAGAAAAAATTCTCCTTGTCACCTCTCTCCACCCATGCATAATTTTTAAACCTCTTATCATGTCTTAGTTGTTTCTTTTCTAAACTAAGAAACAACCTCTTAGTTGTTTCTTTTCTAAACTGAAAAGTCCCAGAGTCTTCAGCCTTTCCTCATAGGGAAGGTGATCCAACCCTCTAATCATCTTGGTCGCCCTCCTCTGCAGTGTCCTTTTTGACATACAGTGACCAGAACTGTGCACAGTGTTCCAAATGAGGCCGCACCATAGATCTATACAGGGGCATCACAATATCGGCCATTTTATTCTCAATCCCTTTCCTAGTAATCCCTAACATAGAGTTTGGCTTTTTCGCTGCTGCAGCACACTGGATTGACACTTTCATTGAGCTATCCACTACGACCCCAAGATATTTTTCCCTCTCAGTCTCAGGAAGTTCAGACCCATAACCTATATGTGTAGTTGGGATTTTTTTGTCCGAATGGGTATCACTGTGCCCTTACCAACATTGGACTTCATTTGCCACATTGTTGTCCACTCAACTTGTTTGTGGAGATCCTCTTGGAGCTCTTCACTGTCAGCCTTGGCTTGTACCATCCTGAATAATTTTGTGTCATCTGCAAACTTGGCCACTACACTGCTCACCCCTAGTTCCAGATCACTGATGAATAAATTAAATAGTAGTTGTTGTTCAGTCGCACAGTCGAGTCCGACTCTTCGCGACCCCATGGACCATCTCCCGCCAGGCCCTCCTGTCTTCCGCTATCCTCTGAAGTTGGCTCAATTTCATGTTCGTTGCATCTATGACACTGTCTAACCATCTCATCCTTTGCCGTCCCCATCTTCTTTGACCTTCAATCTTTCCAAGCATCAGGGTCTTCTCCAGTGAGTGCTCCCTTCTCATTTGGTGGCCAAAGTATTTGAGCTTCAGTTTCATAATCTGGCCTTCCAGGGAACAGTCAGGGTTGATTTCTTTTAGGATTGACTGATTTGATCTTTTTGCCGTTCAAGGGACTCTCAAGAGTCTTCTCCAGCACCATAGTTCAAAAGAATCTATTCTTCGGTGCTCAGCCTTCCTTATAGTCCAACTCTCGCAGCCATACATGACTACTGGGAATACCATTGCTTTGACCATGCGGACTTTTGTTGGCAGGGTGATGTCTCTACTTTTTATCATGCTGTTTAGGTTCGCCATCGCTTTCCTCCCAAGGAGCAGGCGTCTTTTAATTTCATGGCTGCTGTCACAGTCTGCGGTGATCTGGGATCCCAGGAACGTGAAGTCTGTCACTACTTCCACAGCTTCCCCTTCTATTTGCCAAGGAGTGATGGGGCCGGATGCCATGATCTTAGTTTTTTTGATGTTGAGCTTCAAGCCCACTTTTGCGCTCTCCTCTTTTACCCTGAGCAAGAGGCTCTTAAGGTCCTCTTCACTTTCTGCCATTAGAGTGGTATCATCTGCATATCTGAGGTTGTTGATCTTTTCCCCAGCAATCTTAATTCCCGCTTGTGATTCATCCAGGCCAGCATTTCGCATGATGTACTCTGCATATATATTAAATAAGCAAGGTGACAGTATACATCCTTGTCGTACTCCTTTTCCTATGCTGAACCAATCAGTTGTTCCGTATCCGGTTCTAACTGTCGCTTCTTGGCCCTTATACAGGTTTCTCAAGAGACATGTGAGGTGGTCTGGTACTCCCATCTCTTTAAGGACCTGCCATAGTTTGTTGTGATCCACACAGTCAAAGGCTTTAGCATAGTCAATGAAGCAGAAGTAGATATTTTTCTGGTACTCTCTTGCTTTCTCCATAATCCAGCGAATGTTGGCAATTTGATCTCTAGTTCCTCTACCTCTTCGAAACCCAGCTTGTACTTCTGGTAGTTCTCTATCCACGTACTGTTGAAGCCTAGCTTGTAGGATCTTGAGCATGACCTTGCTAGCATGTGATATGAGTGCAATTGTGCGATAGTTTGAACATTCCTTGGCATTGCCCTTCTTTGGGATTGGAATGTATACTGATCTTTTCCAATCCTGTGGCCACTGTTGCGTTTTCCAAATTTGCTGGCAAATGGAGTGCAGAACTTTAACAGCATCCTAACAGCATCATCTTTTAAGACTTTGAATAGCTCAGCTGGAATACCATCACCTCCACTAGCTTTGTTGTTAGTAATGCTTTCTAAGGCCCATTTAACTTCACATTCCAGGATGTCTGGCTCGAGGTCAGTGATTATACCGTCGTGGTTGTCAAGGACATCGAGGTCTTTCTTGTATACTTCTGTGTATTCTTGCCATCTTTTCCTAATCGCTTCTGCTTCTAAATAGTACTGACCCCAATACTGATCCTTGTGGGACCCCACTGCTTACTTCCCTCCATTGTGAGAATTGTCCATTGATTCTCGCTCTTTGCTTCCTGTCATTTAACCAGTTTTTAGTCCATAAGACAGCCCATCCTCTTATCCCATGACTGCTAAGTTTACTCAATAGTCTTTGGTGAGGTAGCTTGTCAAAAGCCTTTTGAAAGTCCAGGTATATAATGTTTACCAGGTCACTGTTGTCTACATATTGTTCACTTTCTCAAACAACTCCCAAAGATTGGTGAGGCAAGACTTCCCTCTGCAGAGGCCATACTGATTTTCCCTCAGCAGGCTTTGTCCCCCTATGTGTCTAACGATTTTATATTTGATGACAGTTTGTACTAATTTGCCTGGGATAGACGTTAGGCTGACTGGCCTGTAATTTTCTGGTTCCCCTCTGGGTCCCTTTTGGTGTAGTGGTTAAGTGTGCGGACTCTAATCTCGGAGAACTGGGTTTGATTCCCCACTCCTCCACATGCAGCTGCTGGATGACCTTGGGCAAGCCATAGTTATGTCAGAGCTGTCCTTGAAAGGGCAGTTCTTGAAAGAGCTCTCTCAGCCCCACCTACCTCACAGGCAGTGTTCCCTCTAAACTGAGTTAGTGTGAGCTGGCTCAGTTTTTTAGCCTCCGGCTCACACATTTTTGTCTTAGCTCAGGGAGGATAGCTCCAGAGCAAACTAATTTATGCAGTAGCTGAATCACTCGCTCACAACTTTAATGCCAATAGCTCACAAAGTAGAAGTCTTGCTCACAAGACTCCACAGCTTAGAGGGAACATTGCTCACAGGGTGTCTGTTGTGGGGAGGGGAAGGGAAAGGAGTTTGTAAGCCACTCTGAGTGAAGGGTGGCGTATAAATCCAATCTCTTCTTTGTATTCTGGTACTGTGGCTGAATTTAGTGATAGGTTACATATACAGGTTAGTAGATCAACGATCTCACATCTGAGTTCCTTAAGAACTCGCGGGTGTATGTCGTCAGGACCTGGAGACTTATTGATTTTTAATTTCCCCAGTAGATCTAGAATTTCATCTCTGGTCTCCCAACTTCAAATTCCCTTCCTGAAAATAGGGGAATTGGCATGGGTATGTGTCCCACAATTTTCACAGTGAACACAGAAGCAAAAAAGTCATTGAGTTTCTCTGCCATCTCCCCATCTTCCTTTAGCAATCCCTTTATTCCTTTGTCATCCAAAAACCCCAGCACTTCCCTGGCTGGTTTCCTGCTCCAGATATATTTTTAAACATGTTTATTGTTTGTCTTGATGTTTTTAGCAATCCACTCCTCAAAATCTCTTTTTACATGCCTAATTATTGGTTTACATTCTGATGTTGTAAATAGATTAAATTATAGACTCCATGTAAGAAGAGCAAAACGGCTATTTTAAGAAATGGTTAATCAATGTTAATATTATGAGTCTAAAGAGTCAGATAAACTCTATATTTGTGACTCACAGGAATTTGGTATCTGCATTCTCAACATGTTTATTGCTTATCCAGGTGAACATGACAGAGATGATGAAGATGAGGCTGAACAGGAAAGGAGGGTTGCTGAAATTATAATCCATGAACGATATATCCCTAGAAAAACTGACAACGACATTGCCTTACTACGATTAGACAAGCCAGTAAACTTTACTGATTATGTGGTACCCATATGCTTGCCTGAGCAACGGTTTGCTGCGGATGTCTTGTCCAGCATTAAATTTTCCACAGTGAGTGGATGGGGGCGTTTAATAGAAGGTGGGGCTACTTCCTCTCTCCTTCTGCGAGTGGACGTGCCCCGCATAAAGACTAAAGAATGCATTCAGAGCACTAACTTGAACATTACAAGGAACATGTTTTGTGCGGGGTACTTGACAGGGATTAAAGATGCATGTGAAGGTGATAGTGGTGGTCCCCATGCCACCAACTACAAAAATACTTGGTTTCTAACAGGGCTTGTGAGCTGGGGGAAGGGGTGTGCAGCTGAAGGCTCATACGGAGTTTACACCAAAATATCACAATACATTCCATGGCTGAACAATCACATGTTTCACTAATTCAGACAGTTTCTACATCGTCTGCTGTTGTGGATACATCTAGCTGTTTTTGACATTTCTCTCTTCTGTAGTTTTAAACCATCTTCAATAAATTAAAGATCCATATACTAAAACTAAAGCTTAATTGTATTTTTCCTGTATTTGTGTTTTCATATTATTTTACTCATCCATAGCGCCAGGTTCTGGGGAAGGAGGGAAGCAGGGCCTCTGGTGTTCCCCCCCCCCCCAAAATCCTGCACCCTTGTTTTCACAGATAAAACAAGGAACAGAAGCTAGTGGTAGGGATGGAAGCAGAAGAAAAGCTTCAATAACTACTTTTTTAAAAGGGGAAAACACTTATCACTGGAGGAGAGATAAGCAGGTTTTAACACGTGGGGAAGAAGAGAGAAAACAATTAGTGGAAGATGAAAAGGTATAGCGAAAGAAGAGTTTTTCAAAATCTGCACTTAAGTGGGAAAACTGCTGCTTCTAGGCAGTGATCCCTCTAAGCTGAGTTAGTGTGAGCTAGCTCACAGTTTTTTGGCCTCCAGCTCACACATTTTTGTCTTAGCTCAGAAAGGATGACTCCAGAGCATACTAATTTATGCAGTAGCCAAACCACTCGCTCACAACGTTAATGGCCAGTAGCTCACAAAGTAGAATGTTTGCTCACAAGACTCCACAGCTTAGAGGGAGCATTGCTTATAGGATGTATGGAGCATGCTGGGAAATGTAGCCCTGCATGGTCAAGGAGCCCAAGGGCTAAACATTTGTGCGGGAGGAGTGCACTTCTTTCCACCAAAAACTCTGAATTTACTGAAATATTTCATTTAATATTTGGAACTAGGAAAGTTTACTCTTCCCTCCCCAGTCAGCAAATAACCTAGAGAGAGAGCTCTGAGGCCATTCCGTCTTCCAGGCCTAGAATCTGTTTTTGTGAGGGAGGTCCTGGACCAACAGTTGCTGGTACACACACTGAATGTTGCTTTTCCAGTGTGCTGTAATATGGCATTTGTTTACAGCATCCCAATTCCTGGCTCCTCTGGGACTTCCCTCAGTTTTGGCCCTTCCTGAGGCCCACCCAGTTTAGGCTGCTCTGGTTCTGAGCTTCCTTTCTCCTCAAGCAGAGCTTAAGAAGATCAGCAGTGTATCCCCCCCCCCCTCCCATTTTATCTCCACTTTAGAGCCCAGCACAGATACTGGGTGAAGACCGAGGGAAAGGAACTGTAAGAGGTAGCTGTTATGTTCAAGCAGGAAAAGTGGATTGTGGACACGGAAGAAAGGGTAGCAGGGAGGTGGGGTGAATCATCACTTTAATCCAGAGGTCATTTCGGGGGGGGAACGTGGGGGAACTGCATTCCCCCGGGTGAGGTGCAGGGGGGCGGGGCACATGACAAAGCCCCACCCCCTGCTTCCGGCCGCCCCGCTTCCAGCCCTCATTCAGCCAGGAGGAGGCAGGAGAAGAGGGAGGGTAAGTTGCTTCCTCCCCGCCTCTCCCCACCCCTGCCTGCCTGGGGCCAGGGAGGGTCTTGGCGGGGCTTCCTTGCACTCCCGCTGGCCTTGCAGGTCCACCGCCGGGCCCCTGATGTCAGGGGGTGTGGCATATGCTAATGAGTTATGCTAATGAGTTCCCCTAGCTCTTTTTCTACGAAATGACCCCTGCTTTAATCACTATTTAAGTTGCAGAATACTGAGAGGGCAGAAGTGGGGAAAGTTGGGGCATTGAATTTGGGGGATCAGTGAGAAGACGAATGAGTCTGGAAACAGCTATTTATTTATTTTGCCATCAAGTCATAGCCCACTTATGGCAACCCTGCAGAGTTTTCCAGACAAGAGATGTTCAGAGGTGGTTTGCCATTGCCTGTTTCTGGCGATTCTGTAAGTGATAGTGCTGCACACTGCAGGATCAGAAACAAGGATGGCCCAAACAGGGCCCAGTTCTTTCAGTATGGCTCAATTCTCTTGTTGCTGCTAGGGGGGATTTGGGGGGTGTTCTGTGGGTGGGCAGGGACATCGCACAACATGTTGATGTCACCCAGAAGTTACGTCAGCATATCAACAATGTCAGGGGCAACACGACTTTTGGGGGGGAATTCTACGGTAAAAACACCCTCAAGCCATAGAGTTTTTCCCAAAAGCAGTGTCCCGCAATGTCATGATGCACTGACAGCACAGCTGGCCAGTGGCAGGCAGGAGCCCATGAAAGTAGGGGGTCCCCTGCCCCCACCTGTGGGATGGTATCCCTAGTTGCTGCACAAGCAGAGCAGGACAGGTGTTAATGGCTATTGAGATGCTGTAGAAGTTCTGGGATCAGAAGTGGGCCCTCCTGAGGAACCTGGGCCCCAGCAACTGCCTAACAATGTTGGCCCTTGATGCAGACTCTACTGTTTATATTATTATTCCCAGAGAATAAATGCAAGCTAGTTATTAATGTTCTTTAATATTTTTCACACATGTTATATTGTTAGGTTCGACAGGTTCCTCCTAGCAACTGGCAGGGCATGGGGGAGACTTACCAGCAATGCTCTTGCTAAGCCGTGGAGTCTTGTGAGCAGAAATTCTACTTTATGAGCTACTGGCATTAAAATTGTGAGCGAGTGATTTGGCTACTGCATAAATTAGTTTGCTCTGGAGCCATCATTCCTGAGCCAAGACAAAAATCTGTGAGCTGGAATCCAAAAAACTGTGAGCTAGCTCACACTAACTCAGTTTAGAGGGAACACTGCTTACCAGTAGAAAGAAGGTGACCTCAGCCACGTTGCCAGTATCACACAGGAAGTGACATCATCATGCCAGCGACCTCCAGGTGACGCTCTGGTATTTGGGCAAAAGAATCTATGGTAAAACTGGCTTCTGCCATAGAGGTTTTCCCTAAATACCAGAGCATCGGCCAGAAGTTGCTGGCGTGATTATGTCACTTCTTGAGCAACACCAGTAATGTGGTCTAGGTCTTCTTTCTACTGGTAAGTCCCTCCACTGGCTAGCTGATTGGCAGCTAACCCTAACACATGGGGAAAAATTAGGCAATATGCTTTTGCTATCCTAATATTTCAATACCAAACAGAACAAACATAAAAAACTAGGCTGTGTGGGAGGAGTGCAGTGGGAGGGAGTGACACAATAAATCAGTGTATTCTGTAGACATGGAGGTGTGATTTGTTGTGGGGGGAACCAGGTAGGTTTGCTAGCTCTGGGTTGGGAATACCTGGAGATTTTGGGGGCGGAGCCTGAGGAGGACAAGGTTTGGGAAGGGGAGAGACTTCAATGGGGTATAATGCCATAGAGTCTACTTTCCAAAGTCACCATTTTTCCCAGATGAACTGACCTCTGTCACCTGGAGTTCAGTTGTAATAGCAAGAGATCTCCAGCCACCACCTGGAGGTTGGCAACCCTAGAACCAACAGCGGGTAAAAGAGAGGTGTTTAATTGCCTTTCCCCCCCAAGTCAGGCTTACTTGCGATGTTGGGCCCTGTTTGGAGAATATGTGAGCTAACAACAGCTTGAGAAGCTTTTGCTAGAGATAATTAACCTGATGTGAGAAGGAGCCTTTTTGCCCTAAAAAGCCTCCCAAAACCTGTCACTAACTTAGTCTGTAGCCCCAAATAGACAAACAAAATAATGTTCAACAAATTTTGTTCCGTTCAGTCCCCAAATTACTTCTAAACTGGTGTTAAGTGGTGGGGTTAAGTTACATTCTCCAGAACCTGGGAAGCAATCCTGTTGAGCTATGCTATTGTTTGAAATAGTTTGATGCTTCCATCTTTGGTTAAACCTGCTGCAGCTGTTCAGAAAGGATTTAAGTGAACTCTCACCTGGACTGAGTCCACAGAAGGTTTGTGGCCATGTTGCCAGTGCTCAGTTTTCACTTGCAACAGGAATTCCACGTGGCACAGGGTGATCCCTTCTTTAACACTTGTTGGGCATAGGCCCTGGTCACACAAGAGGTTTTGGGCCGGGAGAGGGACGGATCGGGGGAGCAGCAAACGGGTGCGATCCCACCGCAACATCTGGGAAGCGTTGCGCACCCGTCCCCGATCCAGCCCTTCCGCCCAAAACGCGCAGCAAAAATAAACCACCTACCGAGGGGGTTCTTCTGGCACGGCCGCATCAAGGCCGGCCATGGGATCGCTGGCGCGTCCTTTCGCTGGCGCATCCCCGGCTCCTGGCCAAACTGCGCATGCTCAGACATGTGCAGTTCGGCAGTCTCCCGTCGCTGTCTCCCCGGTCTCCCTGGCATCTGATCGTGCCGGGGAGCAATTGTGCCGCGGCTCACGGGATCTGTATGATCCTGCCGCCGTGTGCCTATTTTGGTGCGGCTTTTAAAAGCCGCACTTTTGCCCGACTTTTTTTCCCCATGTGGCAGGGACCCTAGTTTCCTTTTCACACCAGATGTGGACTGCATCCCCTTTCCCCCTTGTCATTTTTTCCAAAACGATTCTCCTCCCACATTTTAAAAAAATACTTGAGTGCTTGCATAGCATTGCTTAAGAATAGCTAAATTAAAAAAAAAAAAACCTAAGCAATTTATAGCGCTGCTCCAGAATAATGCAATACTTGTGTCCTTCAGGATATATGGAATTCTGTGAGTCCCACTGCCGTCATCTACTTTGAAAACATCTCCTCGTGGCTGGGGGAAGTGAAGAGAGCACAATCAGGAACTTTTCAAATGGTAATTGAGCAGGGCTCTAGTCGGGGGGGAGCTCTCAGGTACGGAGCTCCGGAAGAGAACCTCTAGGGGGCGGGGCGGTCACGTGGTGAAGCCCCGCCCCCTTCTTTACCCCGCCCTCTGCTTCGATCCTCATTCCGTTTGGGAATGAGGATGAAGCAGGAGGGTAAGTAGCCGGGCCTTCTGACACACTTCCGGTGATGTCAGGGGGTGTGGCCTTCTGTCACTTCCGGTGATGTCAGGGGGCGTGGCATATGCAAATAAGTTATGCTAATGAGTTATGCTAATGAGCTCCGGCAGCTCTTTTTCTACAACAAGACCCCTGTAATTGAGGAAAGAGAGAACAATACTTGCCAGTTGTAATAGCACTCTAACTGTGCCCTCACCATTAATTTTTTAAAATTTTGTTCATGTTTGCAAAGATACCAAGGCAGTTCCTCTAACAATGCAGAGGAAGGGGGTGATTCATTCAGCCTGGAAGATGCATGTTCCCTTCCAGACACATGAAAACAACCATCTCACCAACAGCATGCCAGGAAAGTTCTCCCACCACCACCACTTGAAAAAGTAGAGGTTGCAGCAGGAAAAACAGGCTGTCCATTATATGTGCAGGAATGGATGATAGCATCGTGTGGAAACAAAAATAAGTAAATAAACAAAGCTACACAACTAGAGCTCCTGAAATGGAGTAAATTCTCCGTATGGAGTCTGCCCTGGGTGGAAGAACTCTTGATTCAAACTCCTCTAAAAAAAATTCTGACCTTGATCCTGGGAACTGCAGTAGTTCCTGTCCCAAATCTGATCCCAAGTTATATAATAAGATTTTTTAGAAAAAGGAAAAGAAAGAAAGCTTCCTCCAAAAAGTCAGCACCTTAAAAGTGAGTAGCTTATCTCAAATGCCCAAACTGATTCCAGCCATTAATGATGCAGAAGAACAGTTGGTAAGAACAGTCTACATTTTTTACTTGTAAAGAATACAGTCATTATATTCTGAAATGACCATCCTATGGGTTTTAGAGTCTCAGCAAAGCATCTGCTCAGCAAAGCATCTGTACCCTCAGGTATGTGACCTAAACTTGGCTACAACCCTTGCTTTTATTTCCATACCCCATTATCCCTTTTTTCACGGATAATTAGTGCTCTCCCCATTCACACATTATGGGCCAATTTATGGTTCCCCTCTCATGTTACAAAGTCTGCTGCTCTGGGGCTTTTGCTTGTTTGCTTTCACGGTTGTGGAGTGCGAGACTCTTGGCTAACCAAAATAAATCAAGAGGAAAGTGTACTGTGTTTGCTCTCTATTTGTCAGGCTCTAAGATTGGAATAACACAATTTTTGGAGAGTGAAAAAGCTTTATTAGGAATAACTTTTTCAGCTTGTGGAGTAGTTTGGCATTTCTAAGTGAAGAACTGACAGTGTGCAAGATTATTCCTGTAAATAAATGCAATCATCTTTTGACCTCCTGGGGGAAAGAGTAGGAAATTTTCTTCTGAGGCAACAAAACCAACACATATTGTTTATCTACAAAGGCTCTGTGACCTTACTTGGAAAAGTCCAGGATATCCAAGTCAGCACAACAATTTTAAGAATACATTGTCCAAAGGCGAGCGTTTTGGTTGTACATGATAAGAGCTACAACACAGTCACAGGAAGTGTGCTGTTTGAACCTTGTTCATCGCTGGCCCTGAAGTGAAACACTGCTGTTGTTTTCTCAGACTGGCACTATGGCTAACCAGCTGTTTGTCATTCTGCTGTTTGCTTTTTTGTCAAGACTCCTGGAGGCAGAAATAAATGGTAAGTTCCTTTGATTTCTTTTTTTCTCTTTCCATGTAATTGTTTTAACTTATTTTGAACAAGAGACATTTCTCTTTTGTTGTCAGGATGAGAATGGATCACACGCGAGAAGAAATATTTCCCAATGGCATGGTCTTGTTATATATAAAACATGCCTGAGTTTAGTGCCTACAGACCATGTGTGAAATTGGATTCTTTCCTATTAAAATAAAGGGTGCACCATACCATTTAATCTGTGGAAGGAAAGACCAGCAGCAATGCAGTGTAACTTCTCTCAGAAATATCTCCTCCTCAGTCAGAGGGGAGAGGAAAAAGAACCTAGTTATAGAATGTTGTGTTGTATGGAACTCATCATAAGCAGAAAATTCATTAACGTGATGATTTATTAAAATTCAAGATAGTGTGGTACAAAACCAAAGAATCATGAAGGAATAGAGAAGAAGAAAAGGAAGACAAGAAAGAAATATTTCTTTGATAGAAGGGGGGGGGAAATCTTGGTTTCAGAGATCAGTAAAGCTGGTAGTAAATGTAACACAAGCAGCTGTCAAACTGCTTAAGCTCCTAAGTGAAACATAACATAGTAGAATATAACAACAGCTTCACTGGTGCCCTGGAATTAAAATCTTAGGTGACTTACTTCTAGGTTTTAGAACTCGTGGGGGGTGGAGAGCCAGCATCCAATGACAGACCGGTACATAGAAGTGCACCATGTTGCCCTGCTTGAGTCTTTGTACAGGAACCCAATATCTAAATTTTAATATAAAATTCTATCAAGATAGGCTAAGTGAAAAGGGTTCAAATAGTAAGGAGGGCAAATAGTTAAAAAAATACCTTTAGGTACCAAGATTGTGTAACTTCTCAGCGTTGTAGCTGCTTAAATCACTCAATTGTAGCGAATGTTAGTGGTTAAGATGCTGAACTCCAGGCTGTGGAAGGTCAGTAGTTCAGCAGTTCGAGACCCGGGTGTGCCGCATGACGGAGTGAGCTCCCGTCTCTAGTTCCAGCTCCTGCCAATCTAGCAGTTCGAAAGCAAGAAATTGCAAGTAGATAAATAGGTACCACTTCAGTGGGAAGGTAACAGCATTCCGTGCGCCTTGGTGTTTAGTCATGCCGGCCACATGACCACGGAAACGTCTTTGGACAGTGCTGGCTCTTCAGCTTTGAAACGGAGATGAGCACCGCAACCCTAGAGTCGGATTCGACTGGCTTTCGAGCAAGGGAACCTTTACCTTTACCTTTAATTTTAGTTTAGTTGTAACTGCTCAGACTACTCAGGTGTAGCTACTGTTAGTTCTAAACAGGCTCAGAAGTTATTGTTTAGTTTTACTGCAGTATGGTTAAACAGAGGGTCAAACAAAGGACAAGGATTAAAACTGAGGGCACAGTGGTATCTTAAGCTCTAAAAATCACTTTGGAACTTTACTATAACTATAGATTAAAGTACTACTACCAGAGTCTAGGGATAGTGAGTTCACAGATAAGGTTGAACCTTAGGCAGGTTTTTGTAACAGAAAAAGGAAAGCAAATAACAAAACAAACTTCAGCTACGGATTAAAAACAAAACTGGGTCCAATATTAAACTAAATGTTTAAGCTAATTCTCACATTCTTTAAAGAAGGGTCCCCCCCCAAGAAAACAAGCAGTTACGTATCTCTGGAACTGTTGAAGCAGCTATTCAACTAAAGTCCCCTTTATCCAAGCCAAGAAGGGCTAAAGTAACATTTGAAATTAAATTAGCATTTGAAGTAAAAGGCAGCCTGAGAAAGAGAAGAGGTCTGAGTAGCTCCTTTTCAGCAAGACCTATTGTTAATCAACCAGAGGCTGTATCACTCATCCTCCTTTATTGGTTCACTCCCAATCAGTGTTATTGGCCCCAATGGGGAGGTGGAGTTTTTGGGCCAAGCTATTCACAAGCAGGCCCAGGGAGGTAGCAGGTCCTGCTCCAGTGCTGAAGTGTTTTAGCTCCAGTGACAAAGTGTCTGGAACAAGGTAATAAACAAGTGAGTTTAGTAGAAGTGCGTGTTCAGCAGCAGGGTGAGGAAACCAGGGCACTAGTCTCTCCCCATCCCTAAAAGTGTAAGAACACTTTCCGCAAACAATTGTACATAAATAGGACATTTTATAAAAAGGGGGGTTAAAAAAGAGGCCAAAAATCACAAATAATAAAAGGCAATTGTGGAAGCAGGAGGTTGGGACTATCCAGTATATTGCACTGAGTGGACTGTCTGTCAAGTAGACAGAAGTCATGGGTGTGTGCTCAGTACAAGGAGCTCCTGGTTCTCTGGGAATGAGTTCGCACCCTTGAGGCTGAGGTGGCTGACCTGGAGAAGCAGACGCTGTGGTCACACACACTAAATAATCTACTTTCAATCCACTTTTGAATTGGATTTTGCCAGTTCACACAGTAAAATCCAGTTGTGAATTGCATTGAAAGTGGATTATTTAGTGTGTGTGACCACAGCCAGAGACAGTCAGTCAGGCACATGGATAAGTCTCTCGGGAATTTGTTAATTTGTCCCACTCTGAGAATGGCAGTCCCGCTGCTGTCAGGGAGTATGAGGGTCAAGGGGAAACAGGGCACCATGCTGATGATAAGGGGAATGTTCCCTCAGAAGGGACCCCTTATTTAGTTGGTGAACAGGTATCCTTTTGTACTAAGGAATCATCCCTGGGCGGGGAGGGAGGGGAGCCCTTGGTAGTTGGTGATTTGATCCTTAGGCATGTAGACAGATGGGTTGTGAACCCACATACTGACCACATGGTGACGTGCCTACCTGGTGTAAAGGTAGCAGACATTACATGTGGTCTGGATAGGCTGGTAGATAGTGCTGGGAAGGAGCCAATGGTTATGGTACGTGTTTGCACTAACAATGTGGGGAAATGTAGTTGTGTGGTCCTGGAGGAAAAATTTAGGCAGGAGTGTTGGAATTGCAAGTTGCTTACACTTCAGCCATTACAGAGTTAAATGTTGTTTGTTAGCTCAGCAATGTTAGGTTACATAATGTATTCAACGGGCGGGAAAGTTTGTGGGAGTTGTTTATCCTAATGAAGTGATCTGTAACCTTTGTATTGTTCAACTAACTTCTTGTTTGTAGAAATACTTTGATCTAGCATTAATGTATTCACACGTTTATGGCCCTTTGTGTGAACAAAAGAGGTAGTTCTCTTCTAGAAGCCAAGAGAGACAGAAAGATGTAGCTGTTAGCATTTATTACTGAGAGTAACTAGGCCCTCCAAGGTGGCCTTCTCAGAAGTCCTTCCTGTTCCATGGGTCAACTAGACAGGCACAAATTAGGAGTCTCAATGCATGGATGAAACAATGGTGTATGGAGGAAGGATTTACGTTTGTTAGGAACTGGGATGCTTTTTGGATAGGGTTGCCAAGTCCATCTTCCACCCCCAGCGGGGAACTTTGGGGGCGTTCCTGGAGGGGGCGGGGCATCCCCGACGTGATGATGTCACATTGGGGACGTCCGCCGCCCCCCCCCCCGCCCATGCGCCAGATCTCCAGAAACGGCAGTTCCCTGCACTTAAAGGAGCCGGCGTTTCCCTTTTAAATGCAGGAGCCGGCGTTTCCCCTTTAAGAGCAGCCACTTTTCCCTTTTAAGAGCACAAAGCTGGCATTTCCCTGCAAGCTTGCGGAGATCAGGTGATTTTAACTACCCACATTGATTGGATCAATATGTGTTCAAATTAGGAAAAAGAGATTGGGTTTCTAGATACTCTCAATGACTGTGCCATGGAGCAGATGGTCACAGAACCTACCAGGGGGGAGGCGATCCTGGACTTGGTCCTAAGTAATGCCCAAGACCTGGTGAGAGATGTTAATGTGATAGCACCGGTTGGGAACAGTGACCATAATGCTATTAAGTTTAACATTTATGAAAATAGGGAGTTGCCCAAAAAGAACAAAAAACCCCCACATTTAACTTTAGAAGGGGTAACTTCTCTCAAATGAGGGGGCTTGTGAAGAAGAAACTGAAAGGAAAGGTAAGGAGGGGCAAATCCCTTCAGGAAGCTTGGAGACTATTTAAAGCTACAATCCTAGAAGCTCAGATGAAATGTATACCACAGGTTAGGAAAGGTACAAATAGGTATCTAAAAAGACCTGTATGGTTAATGAACAAAGTAATGGAAGCAGTAAAAGGTAAGAAAGATTCTTTGAAGCAGTGGAAGGCTAGTCTGAGTGAGGTAAATAAAAGGGAGCACAGGCTTTGGCAAATAAAATGCAAGACTGTGATCAGACAGGCAAAAAGGGACTATGAGGAACATATTGCAAAACGCATAAGGACTAATAATAAAAATTTATTCAAATACATTAGAAGCAGAAAACCAGCCAGGGAGGCAGTGGGGCCCTTGGATGACCGAAAGGTAAAAGGATTACTAAAGGATGATAGGGAAATGGCAGAGAAGCTGAATGCTTTTTTTTTTTTTTTGCCTCTGTTTATATGATTAAGGGGATGGAACACTTTCCCCATAAAAAAAGGTTAAAGCGCTTGGGGCTCTTTAGCTTGGAGAAACGATGACTGAGGGGTGACATGATAGAGGCTTACAACATTATGCATGGGATAGACCAGGCAGAGAAAGAAGTACTTTTTCTCCCTTATATGATTAAGGGCATGGAACACTTTCCCCATTAAAAAAGGTTAAAGTGCTTGGGGCTCTTTAGCTTGGAGAAACGATGACTGAGGGGTGACATGATAGAGGCTTACAACCAATGTTCCCTCTAAGCTGTGGAGTCTTGTGAGCAAAAATTCGACTTTGTGAGCTTCTGGCATTAAACTGGTGAGCGAGCAGTTTGGCTGCTGCATAAATTAGTTTGCTCTGGAGCCCTCCTTCCTGAGCAGAGACAAAAATGGGTGAGCCGGAGGCTAAAAAACTGTGAGCTAGCTCACACTAACTCAGCTTAGAGGGAACACTGCTTACAACATTATGCATAGGATAGACCAGGTAGAGAAAGAAGTACTTTTTCCCCTTTCTCACAATACAAGAACTTGTGG